ATACACTTTATTATATAACCAACATTTACAAAATCCATACTTAAAAAAAGGGTTATGACTATCTGAAAGTACAAACGCTGTAACTTAAATCACATAATATATATATATATATATATATATATATATATATATATATATATATATATATAACTATACGATATATATATAAGCGCGTCAATAACAGCAAACGCGTTCAAGAAACTTCCATTGCAGATAGATTTTACTTAAAGGAACAATTAGTTAGCTTATCTTCATAACCTGCCTGGTGGCAAACGCTGCTGGTGGCGCCAGGGGTGGCGGTCCCGCCATAGCCACCGAAACCGTGAGATAACCCCTGGTCGGCGGGTGATGAAGACAGGGTATCGCACGTGCTAACACTCGTTGTATGTTAAAAATATATATATATATATATATATATATATATATCACATATATATATATATATATATATATATATATATATATATATATATATATATATATATATACATCCCTACTAGACCAAATCATTCATTCTATCTGCAATGTGTAAATGTGAAATGTCCCCAAATTCCTGAAATGGTTATATATAAAATCGCGTGTATGACAAAGTATTTGCCCTGCCAGTAAAACGGATGTAGGTGTGAGGTCATATGCCTCTCCACTTGGCGGTCGTTACTGACCCCACATCAACACTATGGTGCACCCGACTTCCTTGGTGTCAGTCGTGAATTGCGTGTGATGACCATTCCGTCATCGTATTTCACACAGATTCCCTTGGCATGTTCTAGGAGATATAGAGGTCACATGTGGCCACTTCACCGCTACATCTGTTTTTCCATACGACAGAACAACGGACTAGGTTTTCCCTTAGGTCAAGTAATTCGACTCTCTCCTACCACGCATTTGCCGATCTGAACATCACGACGTGAAGTTCGCCACCCTAATCTGAATCTCTACATCTCTACCAATGGATTAGACCTATTTACGGGTGACTCGAAGCTGACCATTTTAACTGGGATTCTGCTTATATAAGTTTACATGTGTTTATTTATTTATGAAACTGTCAGCTGTATGCAGCCACTTTCTAACATCAGTGATTAAAATGATTTTGAGGGAGTGAAGTCTATGTATCTTAATGAAGACCACAATCTTTCGAAATCTGTTTAGCAAACGCGTTCAAGAAACTTTCATTGCTGATAGATTTTACTTAAAGGAACAATTAGTTAGCTTATCTTCATACCCTGCCACCAGGCAGGGTATGAAGATAAGCATGCATATAGAATTCTCATGCATATAGAATCCCAAATACAAAAAATGTACCAAATAACATCAATCGAGGATTTTCAGTAGCAGCCACATCTAAAATCCTTATCATATGTGTCATGGGTCCTTACCTATAACTACAGAATGAACTCTTTCTAACCTTATGTATACTACGCCTCTCAAGAGAGAGGATCGAATCAAGCCGAGCTTCTTGGCTTGACGGTCGAACTCTCTGCGTCTGAGCAGAGAGGAACCCGGACGAGGCTCCGCCGAAGGCAGAGTCTCGTTCGGGGAGGTTGACCAACCCGATCCCGTTTATACGGGTTCTACGGAAATTTTTTGGCCGAGCCTACGGGCTCGGGAAACCCACGTTAAACTCGGCCTTGTGCCACATGCAACCCTCGTGGGGGGTGGCTAGATACCGAATCGAGTCGAGCCGATAGAAGTTCACTCCAAACCAGACTGACAGTCATACTAACACCTTCCACATCTTGTATTATTATTTCATGTAATATACCTTCGTTATTTCTACTCTTGTGTTCGTGTTGGTCTTCCTTGGTCCTAACCTGGACCATAACAATATATAACTCAAAAAGAGAATAATAGCATTTTGTAGATGTTTCACATTACTTCAAATAAAAGAATTTGAATGAAATCCTCAAACAGCGATAATGGCTGCTGAATTTGAGAAACTTATTTTCTTGAAAAAATAGTTTTAAGAGAAAGTTTTCATAAACTTCGCTGATTATAATTTGCCCCTTTTCATTTTGGTTGGTAAATATGTCCATATAGACATAGGATTTTGACCAGTTATTGCTGAGAGAGTAATGTGCTTTTGTAAATGGACACCAGAACATATCTAAAAGCTACAAGGGATAGTAAATTCTGGAAAGCCTCAGTCGCCTTGGTCCTGAAAAGCATACGATACATTTTAGATTTATTTAACTGCAGGGTTATTTCGATAGAAACAAAGAAAATTTGCTTACTTGGTATACCTATCTTCCTGTTGGGCAATGAATGCCATACATTTTCTTTGCTGGGCAAGAACAGTTTGGAAACAACAGAGATGTATTTCCTACAGACGAATACTCATTGTACCATGGAGACAACACGTTAAAAACGAGGACGTGCTATGGAATGTAGGAAAAAATACTCAATTTTAAAATCAAAAAGAGTCAGGCTGTACATATTTGGGAGGAATGGGGGTTTGCTGAATTTAATACTCGCATATTATACGAAGGGTAGCAAGTTCTGGGTTTACAGGGAGAAACTTTCCTAAAATGTTTGAGTGAATGTCTAGCCAAAGTAGCTTAAGGGATAATGGTAAAGATTCAAATGATGCTTAGCGCGACAGTAGGATTGGAGAACCAGGATTGCTTCCATCTGAAGGGACACGACGTATGATTGATGATTGATAATTTTATTCAAAGATCGGACGCGGGCATATGATATAATGTCGAATTGTCGTTTTCAAAACAGACAGATTTCATGTGTAAAATTATCAACCTTAGTATTCTTATCTTCGTTTATATAGATTTTATACTAGTGTTTCTGACCATGAGAACCGAGTTCAAATCTCACCACGGTCAATTTATAAAGGAAAGTGATCCCAGCGAGCGACGCCTTTTGAAAGTGCCCGAAAACCATACCAGGATTTGACCGAAGTCTTGTGAGTGAAATTTATGAGCTGTTGATTGTTGTACTAGCACGAAGTCATAAGTCATCGTGACAGAAGGTCTGAGCGTGTTTGTTCAGACCATTAATAACGCTAGAAACGTGCTCTCTCCCAGGTACTATGACAAACGTCTATTCAGCATACTTTCAGCATAAACCACAGATAGGCTCTGTGCCGGCGTTTGCAACATGTATTACATAGACCTAGCAGACGGGCATCCACAATTACGAGAGGCCATCCATCCAAACTAGAGCATACCTTAAATATTGAAGCTGAGCTGTCGTTATAGAAACTAGTTTGGCAGATTATTCCTTCGCGAATTTCTTTAATTCTTATGTTGATATACGCCATTTTGACACAATGGAAAGATATCTTCCGCGACGTCTGTTGAATTGAAGAATACGCCATCTGCTTCTTTGTCGAAAATGCTAAAACCGATTCTAAAGTCAAGCCACTAGAGCACAAGAGGTTACTGAATATTAGAGAATATGCACGAAAATAGTGTTAAGGAGAATAAAAGAATAACAATCAATAAGACAGAAGATAGCGATTGACATTACATTTAAATCTTTGAAGTTCAAAATTGATTGGGAAGGAAGAAACCGGAAGATTCCCATAAAAGAGAAGTGTGACAGAAGAAAATGGTAACATAGAACTTGTGGGTACAGCTAGCTATTTCAACTGTAAATTGGTAATACGTTGGCGCCAATCAAGTGCTGAACATAAATTCATAATATCTTGGTAATATACAGAAAAAGTCATCAGAAAAATTACAATGAATTTATTATTAGAAAAGACACAGAGAAACTACGTTAGGGCTGTAATTGTTTAGATGATACTACCAGCCAAACCTCTGTCTAACAATTTCACCCTAGTACAAATCAAATCTGTATTTTTTTTCTTTTTGTCTATCGCGCAAACCAAACCCACGCATGCATTATTGATTCTCATACAAACGAAACTTATATCTATCTTACTATGTCTGATAGAAACCAACGTATGTCTATTCTTTTCACTCATTCAAACCAAACGTGTTCCTACCTTCGTGAGTCTCGGCTAATATATATATATATATATATATATATATATATATATATATATATGTTTTGAGCAATAACATTTTTTTTTAAATTAAAATTTTCAGGTTGACTTGGTTGTATATTAATATTTTATTGTTTTATTATTTCAAGTTAGGTTCCTCGACAAGTTAAAGCTAGCATTTCAGGAGGAAAAATCCTGTATTATAATTTTGCAGTGAACTATATATATATATATATATATATATATATATATATATATATGTGTGTATATATATATATATATATATATATATATATATATATATATATTATATGATAGATATGATTTGTGAAAAAACGCTTTTGATCGTCAGACAAAACTCTAATATAATATATATATAATATAAATAATTATATATATATATATTTATTTATATTTATATTCACTTTTCTATATATATATATATATATATATATATATTTGGTTTTTCTCTCTCCTGTCAACTTTTGCGATTCTCATGCAAAGCAAATCTCTTCCTACCCCATCACAGCCGCATAACTTGGTGTTCAACTGTTTGGACATGCTCTAATCACCATATAACAAACCAAACCAAGAGCGATGTTAAAAACTCTAGAGAAAGTAATCAAAAGGTGAAAAAAACACTATGGATGAGACAACACAGTGGTCGAAATGTTTCTTTTTAATACGCGTGTGTGATTAACAGACACGTTATGCGGCTGATTAAGACGAAAGCCTATCCTAACTGAAACCCGTGGAAAAAGAAAAAAAATCTGGAATTTTAGAACAATCTTCGAAAAAAGGAAAACGAAACCATTGAAATAATATGCACTACCCATTCACATCAGTGGTCAATCAGTCCATTTATTAAAATGACGCAGCTGTCAGATATGCAATCGAGTGGATAACATTTCATGAGAGGAGAGCCATATTCCATACTTGAAGCCAACGAACTGTCGTTAATGGCATTACAACTTGATGCCGTAAAATTCTGTCTTTTTCTCTCTCGTTTTCTTTGTTTTGTTTTTTTCGCTTTCTGTAGACGTTTTCCTTTTTTTCTGTTTTATCGCCATTTTCTCTTTCTTTTCTTTTTTAGCAACATTTATCTTTTTTCTTTTTCCATCAATATTTTTTATTCTTTTTCTATTAACTTATGCGTTGGTCGGCACTTTACAACACAAGTACTGTCACACGAATCAAGACATCTGAGACGATGGACCAGTAACGAAAAGAAGAGGGAAATCTTTTTTTAGCTGTCAACGATGACATCTCTTGCACCGATTTAAAAAAAAAAGAAATATTATTCGTTTGAGTCGTAATTTTTAATGTTTCAAATTCCTTTGTTAGTTTTCTTAACAACGAAAACCGGCAAAAAAATGCGCATCTGATCGATTGACGTGCAGCTCTTGGCGATTGCGTACATACTACCTTTGTTTTTAGTCTTTCTGATCAGGTTATCAGAGGAAATAACGCATTTACTCCAATCACTTGTTATTACTTTTTAAATTATAAATTACCTGCAGATGGAATGTTGAAATAGCAACAAGTATAAGAATGAATATATATATATATATATATATATATATATATATATATATATATATATATATATATATGCACTTGTTGCTACTTAAGAATATATATATATATATATATATATATATATATATATATATATATATATATCGAAATATTTCAAGCCCAGAATAATCTTCAACAGAATGCAGAAAGCAATGTATGGCCATTTCGTCCTATTTGGGACTAATCAGTAGTGTGCATCAACTAAGGAGAATCGAACCCGGTCCATTTTCATACAAAGCAAACGTCATGCCATCTTCAGCAGTCGTGGCTCTTGGGGCACTGTTCCGAGGTTATCTGAATACTTGGATGAGTATCGCTGCGGAACTGAGGGATTAGTGGCGCTATATCGAGTCTAGTTTGTGTCTTCTTTGTCACCGAATCCCGTGGTATAGTTGGCATGACGTTCACGTTGTATCGAAACGGTCCGGGTTCGATTCTCGGTGTGGCACCATGCATAATTACAAAACTGAAAAGAGATATTCATAAATATATGATTTATTTTTTCGGTTTGTTAACCATTTGATAGTTATTTAGAGATGAGAAATATTTGGGTTTTGAGAATAATTCTCTAATTGCATTTAGGCGATCCGAGAGAAAGAAAGGAGGAGGAGGAAAAAAAAAAAAAAGAGAAATAGATGGTACAAAACCCGGTCATAAGCACACACGCTTAGCTGACACAAAACAGGTGTTAAAAGATATCTAGGTCAAAGTACCTGACCGAAATCCACGAAAAAATGGAAGTTGTTATAATTGGTTGAAGAAATAGAGTTTAGAGATAATAAAAAAAAGAAAAAAGAAAAAAAATATAAATACGAAACCAGGTCGTAAGCGAAAACACACACGCTCGACTGGCACATATCAGATGTCAAAATATCAGGTCAACACTTGATCTAATTTCGTGTCCACGGAAGATGGAAGTTTTTGTTAAATTTGGCTGAAGAAATAAAATTTTAGGGACAATGAAAAAAAATATTGATAAGTAACAAACGAAAAAGGGTGTCATTGAGATGATAGGTAACAGATGGGGAACTGTATCTAAGGATATGAAAACAAAACATTAATACGAAACCCAGGCGGTTTTTGGAGTTGAAGGGGGCCGCCCATGGTTGATAATATTTTTTGAGATAATTAAGATTTTGTTAGCAAGCCCGAGCGAAAAAAAAAGGTGGAATATTTGTATTAGAGCGCGAAAACGCCGACAGTCTGGGAAAAATTCCTTTCTTAGATCGCATCCAATTAGCGGTAGGCTGTTTTGACAGATGCCACGTGGAAGGGACCGATAGCGTCATTTCGATCACATACGAAAAGGACAAATTTAAATTTTGTTTTTTTTAAAACAAGGTGTTTCTTCCCCAGAACAAAGCCACGGATTGTCCACGCCCAATTAGAGATGTCACGAAGGAAGGAGGGAAGATACCGACCAGAGTCTCATTGGCCGAGGACAGTCACATGATACATGAGGGAGGAGGAGAGACACCCGACCAGAGTCTCATTGGCCGAGAGCGGTCACGTGATGTGCGAGGGAGGAGGAAAGATGCCCGACCAGGACCCCATTGGTCGAGAGCGGTCACCTGACATACGAGGGACCAGGGGAAGCGGGTATGCGCCTCCCCCAGAGGCACAGTAAGGGAAGTAGGAGTGAAAGTAAGAGCGATAATGGAAAATCCCCTAATCAGAAATAATACGTCTTTAGAATTATCAAGAAAACCCTGGCGCCGACAGACCCACCCCAGTTTTTTGACTGCCTCAATAAAAGCAGGACCCCAATTGACAGAAATCAGTTGGAGCTGGGACGCGGACAGCGAGGGGAGTTTGAGCGCCGGCGGCGGGCCAGGTTCATTCGCCCTTTGCGGGCAAGACAAGCCGAAGTGAAGAAGGAAGGTTCGCCCGAAAGCCGAAGAAGAAATCAGTTGAAGGTTGCGCAACCCGGACGAAGAAGAAGAAGTTAAGTTGCAGTTGCGCCCGGAGAAGTTGGAATCAAACCAAACCCTGAAGAAGAATAGAAATTCGTCCAACCCAAGTCGAAGTCGAAGAAGAAATTCGCCCAAACTCAAGCCGAAGTGAATAAATTCGTCCAACCGAAGCTGAAGAGAAGAAGTCGATTCGCGCACTGACGGAGAGAAAATCAGCCGTGAACGACAGGTAGAGATCAGCGCCCAGTGTTGAAACCAAACCACACCCCGAAATGCAAATTTCTAGAGAGCAAGCAACTCGAAGCCTTAAAGTTGTATGGTAGAAGCTTGGTGCCACAGTCCACAAAACGGGTCGGGAGGTAGGAATAATTTTGTGTAACGAACATTTAGATATAAAAAGTTGTTACCTTTTTTTTCAATAATTTTTGACCTTGTGAGTTTTTCTTTTTCTTGTGTGTTATCACCCCCCGTTGAACTCAGCTTGCATACGGCCCAAATCCCTGTTTGATCCCGTCTGTCTAAGATCTAATCACAACGTGGGTAGGCAGACCGGAGATCAGTGCAGTTACCCTAGTAACCAGGCGTTGGAAGCGAGTTGGGAACGACGAGGCTGGTATTCATCTAGCCAAAGGGTTAGAACGTCACACTTGGAGCAGCGAGGAGCGAACAGCTGACGCCGCGGCAAAGACGTCACAACTGGTGGTGTCGTGACCCAGGGATCAGAGCCTGGACCACGTGACGTCACAGTTGGCGCCGCGAACGAGATCGAACGACAGAGTCGACGCTGCGACCAGGGGGACGACGTCACACTGTAGTGGATGCGCAATGCCGATTAGTTTCAAATTTGCCGAAACGGCCGTCCAGAGTTTTCTGTATTCTGTTGAAGATTATTCTGGATTCGATGAATTGCTATATCTGATTAACACAAAAATTATTCAATATATAAATATATATATATATATATATATATATATATATATATGATGTCGTTTTCGACGTATGTGTCTCTTTCATTTCCGTTTATGTTTCGTATGAGACAAAAATCCTGCTCGGGACTTGCAAACAAATCCACACGAAGGGCCTACTGAAGGGTTGGCCGCCATATGGGCTGATGTATTAATCCGAGATTTAGTGTTAATTCTTAATTCTTTCAGATGGTTGAGAAGATTCTTTTCAAAGTTAGTTATACCTCGGCAGCAGATTTTTCTCTAGTTTTCAACAGCAAGTTCGAACACCTCTATAGGGATGTTTTCAGCAATTAAATTTCATTTAAGTTTGTTCTTGAAGCGTAACCAAGGAGGGCCTACATTACGCTTACCATGAAAAAGTTGGCAATACATGAAGATTTTCGGCATCAGATCATTACTCATTTTGATGACATGATCAGCCCATCTGAACTGTGATTGCATCAGATAGGATTCAATACCACCGACGCCACGTTTGATAAAAAGATCAGGGTTAGAGATTTTGTTCTGATGTGTATAACCGCATATTGAACGAAGACAGCGTTTATGAAAAACATCAAGTTGATTGATGTGCGTTCTGAATGTCGTCCACGATTCCCATCCATAAAGAAATGTGGTGAGAATCACTGGTCAATAATGATTTTCTTCTTCAGTGAAATCCCATGAACACCCCATAGGCGATGCTTAAGCTTCCCAAAGGCATCGGTTACCTGTGATATATGGTTAACTATTTCGTCCTCTACTGAGGTACTTTTCTTTGAGGTTGTTCCTGCCAACTGTAATGGGAATGATTACATATGTATATATATATATATAGAGAGAGAGAGAGAGAATGACTGGAGTAAATGTGTTATTTCCTGTCGACGCAACATATGTTCATTCAGACTTTTTAACTCTTCCACGAAAAAAATATTTTCTACACTGAATTAAAAAAAAACATTAAATATAAAAATCACATGGTACAGAAATATAAGACGTTTATAGATCCAGTGAAACAGACTGAAAAAGAGTGTGAGTCAAAATCCCGGTTAAGGCAGTGGAGAACTTTCAGAGGGAAAATTAAATTTAGATAAAAAATAACTGACATCTATCAAAAATGGCACTTGGAACTAGAACAGTCTACAGCAGCGAGCGAAATAAAGGGTTCAGTTCGACATTCCAATCAATACCTAATTTTATTTATATGTATACAACGGCCGAAACGGTATGATAAATATGGCGAAAAGATGAGGACAATAGTCCGAATAATGTAAATAATGTACATAATACCTCATCTCAGAAATATAGGCAAACTTATGTCTTGTTGAAAGATTGGTTACCTTATAACACTTAAATAACCGGTCAGTGTACCTGAAGATTGTGTTGTGCAGGAAACTCCGAGCCTTGACATCCTGAGGGTTAATATATACATTTATTAATATATACTTGATAGCGCTGTTGTATTACATCGACCACTGTTTTAATAACACCAGCTCTATATGTGCGATATATATATATATATATATATATATATATATATATATTTATTATTTCTTTGTCATTTTTTCACGATTAATCCGGTGTTAAAAATACGGGAATGAAGACTTTGTTGTTACCTCTGTTTCTGTGTCATAAATCATGAGAGCATCTGTTCGAAAGTAATGAAAAAGCATGATTTCGATCTTGAAAATGTCACCCCCAAATCGAAAATTCTCATTT